ACTCCGTTATTGGTATTGGACAAAAATTAGGGGGGAAAATCCAAAACAACCATTGTTTTAAAAAAATTACAAAAATACCACGCATTCCCAAGAATTTCCAAATCTACCACAATCGAGGCGCGATTCTCATTTAAACCGCGCGGGCAAGGGGCGGTTTGCCATTGGGCAGCTGACAAAACGCGTCTCCACATGGTGGTCCATGCAACCGCACGATGGGCAGGCGATATGACGGCCTAACAGCCTGCCAGCGGACCGATCCGCGTCCGATCTGCCTTCAAAAATCTTTTCTTTGGTTTTCACTAAAAAAACCGTCGAATCTATGTCCGAATTCTGAAAAAATGGATGATTTTATCCAAGAAGAGGGTATTTACTATGATGATTATCAAGCGGTACATACTCATTTTACCCAATTTTTGTTGTTGTTATAATGGTTTATTTAATTTATATACTAATTGATTTATGTTGTTGTTATGCTATCGTAGGTTGGGCCGGATGTTGATATATACAATCAACGATATTATGTTGATCAAGGACCGATTAATGCGACTATTTTATACGATCAATACAATCATCGTTCAAGAGACGTTTGACCATCTTCAGAATGACCTACACCGCCTTCGACCGCCTCGGTGTAAACGAACATCTCCGCTTGTTTAATTTTATTGGTGGTCAAAAATTAGACCATGGCATCAACGTCCTCCTGAGTGGTAATGAGAAATTCCTCATTCCACAGCGACCCGCCATGTCTGTTTGGATATCGATACACCATACGATCAACTCTTCTAGTGCCATCCATGCAGGTAACCTCAATGCACATTTGATGGAGCTCTTCAAGCATCGGCCTCGTACGGATCTTCATTTTATAAAAATTGTCACCCATGTAACGTTCACCCTTTTCGGTCTCTTCTGTGTAACCATTCCACCGCAACCCAAGCGTGAACCTTTGGAATGCCATCTGCAATAAAACTGTAATTAAGTTACTAACATAAAAATCACAAATGACAATGAAAAGTAATACAAAACAAACTTACGAATTAACGTTAATCGCAAAAATTAAATAATTTAAAGGTGCACAACTGAAATTTGAAGAAGAAAGAGGAGTGGAGTAAAGATTTTGAGTTTTCTGGACCTGCCTTTTATAGGCAAATTTTACACTAAAAACCGCAGGGGGCGGTTTTAGTCTGGCATGCAGCCCCCACCCCTGCAACCTCCTGCACTCCTGCATGCCGACATGTCGGATGTCGGGTGACGATGCACAAACCGCTGGAGGGGGGAGTGGTTTATGTGTCGACATGGTAAACCGCTTCCCTGTGGAGCGTTTTACTATGCCGACACGTAACCGCTCCCTGAGGAAGTGGTTTGTGGTAGGGCACTCATTGAAACCGCTCTTTTGAAGAGCGCTCATTTTTTTCAAAATAGGCAAACCGCTTGTCGACTAGGCGGTTCTATGGTAAACCGCGGCCTAGGTGGGTGGTTTCTGTTATAACCACCCCTGAGTTGAGCGGTTTTAAAAAAACAGTGGTAGATTTGGAAATTCTTGGGAATGGGTGGTATTTTTGTAAATTTTTTTAAAACAGTGGTAGTTTTGGATTTTTTTCCAGAAATTAAGAAGAGAGTGACTAAATGTGGCATGTTTCAGTAATTCAAGTGACCAAAATTGATAACAATTTTTTATAATGACTAAACATGACATGATTTAGAAATCTCAATGACCAAATGTGGCATTTACCCGTGTTTCTTTGGATGATTGAACCATAGTTTATTTTGCTTGTTCGAGTCAATAGAATCGGTTTAATCAGACATTGCATGATTTCAATTAGGGGTAGAAATCAGTATGATATCGATATCTCAATACCAAATATCGAAATCCCGAATACCAAATAGTGCCCTTAACTCAATCTCAATCATAATCCCAAAATAAATTCGGGATCGGTATCCCAATTCCTAAAATTTTGTTCGGTATCGGTACAATTTGATCTGGGAATATGAATAGATTTGTGATACATTGTGGTTTGATTTTGGCTAATTTGATAGAAGTAGAACAAATTTACTAATGATATTAATTTTAGGTATAATTTGTTTTGTCCAGTACCTTAGATTTCATTAGCTTATTTATTATATTTGATTGTTGCTTAATTTATTTTATAATTTAAATTCAGATATTGAGAGGTTTTTATCTATCTATCTACACACTTCTATATAGAGATTCAGCATGATGAGTGGGTTGAAACAAAAATTGGAGCCTCCACCTTATCTCATGGAAGGCTAAAGGTGTCTTTCCATCTTATTAAATTTTTTTTTTGTTTATTTTATAATTACTCATTTTGATTTATTCGTTGTGGAAGGTTGGACTTTTTTTATAATTTGTTTCTAGCATTTTATTTTACATACTTATTACTGTTATTATGGTAATAAAAAATTGCTATAGCAATTAACTCTAAACTAAGTGAACCTTATCTGTGGTTTGTCGTTGGTCAACAAAAATAATGTTTCTAGCATTTTATTTTTACATATTACTATTACTATGACAATCTAAAAGAATTTGCTACAATGACTTTATCTAAACTCTAAGTAAAACTTACAATTCGTCAAGTAGATCTTTGTTGTTGATCTACCAAATTAGTAAAGGTGACACCTAGCTTAAATAGGTCAATCTACACACCAGATTAGTGGATGTAAAAAACTGCAATGTCTACCATTTGATATTCCGACAGTCCTTCATATGTCATATAAAATCCATTGCTATAAATTTTATTTGCATAGGCATGTTTCCCTGAAACATTCAATCTAATGAGAAATGTGATAGACTCACACAAAGTATATCACATACTAGCACTATTTTAATCAACCTTATCGATCAACAAGCCGATCAAAGTTTTTGCTAGGCTCTAAATAAAATTTATCTGGAGTTTGACCAAATCATCATAGACATGCCCCGACTGAAAATATAAACTTTTTGTTTGGTAACTCTGGCCATTAACAAATTTTTTTGCAATCACGTTCAAATTAACTTTAAAAGGTTTTAGTGATTCATTAGATGAACGTTTATTTGTGCATGTAACATGTAGCAAGAACTTAGATAGTATGAACAAAAATTTAGGGAGATGTTTTCTTTTTAATTTGAGCAAAAAAAGTGTTTCACATTTTTGTAAATATAATACCATTAAGTTCTTCACTGCAATGAAATCTAGGACAAGAAGGAATAGTCGTCTAATAATGATCAAGGTTGTGCATTCTGTAATAGAGATAAGATGTTGTGGAGGATAAAGGAGGGACAATTATTAGTGAGAAAGAGCAAATATCATATATTTACTTTCAGTGAAATGCAAAAGAGGAAGGAAGACATCATTATTGGTGAGGATATAACGATAATGATGAAGCAATCGTGAAATCCAAAACAAAATATGTAGTAGTTTCTAATTGGAGTGTGATTTGGAAGAATTTTTTAGTGTTGATTCTCTTGGATGACTTTAGTTGATGAATCAGTTAGGATGTGAGAAAAACTTATGATCCATTTTCAATTTATGATCCATGTTCTTTTTATTTTACCAATATTTAAAAATTATTCTTTTACAATCACAAATGAAAATGTATTTTGCTTCACAAAATTACTATTGTTGTTTATATCATGATATAACGTATCCGGCCAACTGGCCGGCGGGTACAAATCTAGTTTTCAAAGTAAGTGAAAATAACTCCAAATCTAAAATCCAGTGGGAATCCTCATCCTACGTGAAGCTGGTCGAAATCTTTAATTCATCCGAATTCTTGAATTATAAGGTATGGAATCCAAATCCGAAACGGAATCGGTCCAGTCCTTGGGCTAATTAATCAAATCCTAATTGACCAATGCTAATAAGCAAGTTGATAACAATATGGCAGAGGAGAGGTGGGAGCATCTCCCCGGAGACATCCTATACGACGTGGCACTGCGGCTGCGCAAACTGAGGGATCTATTCTCATACGCCGCCGTTTGCAAGTCATGGCATTCGGCGTTGGCGCCGGTTATCAAGTCGCCGCCTCCGCTGCCGCCCGGTTTCCCGATGCTTATGCTGCTGGGACAAGACCAGGGGGGCGGCGGGCGTCAGCGCCGATTCTTCAGCTTGCTGGACGGACGAACCCACCGGATGAAGGTGAATGAAGTCGTCAATGGTACGGGGATGAGTTCCTGCGTTGGCGTATCCCACGGGTGGTTGGTGGTGGTGACGGATCGAGAAGTGGAGGTACATTTGACCCACCCCTTAACCGAGCACGCGGTAAAACTCCCGCCGCTATCACGCTGCCCCAATTCCACCTACGGCGAACTGCTCCCTGAAGATTTCTGCGATTTTTACATCACCAAGGCTGTGGTGACGGCGGCTCCCTGGAAAGACGGGGCCGCCAATCCCGACTGCGTGGTGTTGGCCCTCGTTGGCCTGGCCAATTTCTTGTGGGCGTGCAGACTGTGGGCGGCGGCGGCGTTGCAAGTTGGAGAGGGTGTACAATTTGAGATGTGATGAAGCCTTGTTTGTAGGCCAAAGCTGCAGCTTGTCGCTGTCACTGGAAGCAATGAATACAAATAGGCAGAAAGAAGGACGAGGAATGTTGACACCCAACTGCATCTACTTCACTGACGACAACTTGGAATTCTTCAAGGAAGAACTCGGAGGCCATGATCAAGGTGTGTTTAATATGGCGGATGACACCGTCAAGCCCTGTTATTCTAGAAAAATAGCTCCTTCACTGTTTTGCCAGCCTCTTTGGTATATGTAATTTCTTCTATCACAATGTGGATGGATAATAATAACTCATAGTACCGCCCAAGTAGAGTTGGCTGTCAATTGTGATTAAAAGAAAAAAAATATCAGGCCTGCTTTTACCATTCCTCTATTACTACAATTCTCAGAAACAGATCGATCATAAAAAAAATTCTCAGAAACAGATGCTCAGTGCAATCAAAAGCAAACAAAGGGTTGCTGGACAGAGAGAAAACGAATGGAGGAATGGTGAAAAAGTGCCATGAAACCACAAAATCAAAAGGTGACTGTAAATGACATGCATCATTTTCTAATGAGGCCAAGACACTGATCATTTTCAAGACTGCTTCTTTGAATCTTACTTACTCAGCTGTCATCCTTGCAAAAGCTCAAAATTCCGCTTGGCTTTTCCATGGTCTAAGTTAACATAAGCAAGATGAAATCCCAGTGCAATTCCATCCATAAAAAAGAACATACAGTCATTCCCTTACAAATGCAGAGTGTTCACTCACCAGAGATGAACTGCATTGCACCAAGACCATCTACATTACAGGAAAAGGTTTCAAGACAAAATCTACATTGCAGGAAAAGAGTTTTAACCAAGTCAAGAGATGAACCTGCATTGCAGCAATTGTGTAATAACAAAGCTCTCCTAGAAAGACTATTATCATTACTCGCCATTATCAGCCCATGGAACATGCATCTAGAGCAATGAGGCATGTTGAATGATCCTAGTAGGAATGAAAGGCTTTAATATTGAGTATACCAAGCATGGCAAGAAATCCAAGCATCTAATCTTAGAAATACATCAACCAGTCTAACTGGCAGCAAGCAGAATAATGTAGAGAGGTGACATGGTTCACAGCAAGAAGGCAATAAAGATAATGGACCTGGACATCAATGCTTAGTAGTAGAAAAGTAGTTAAGAGAGTAGGAGGAAATGACAGGAAGTTCCGTCGAAAACTATACCTCACTGTTAGTGGGGTTCAGAAATGACAAATGGACTCTTAGCCTTCCCACAAATTCACCAACATCTCGTTTGGGTTTGAAAGTCAGATTTAAGAACTGCTAGCAGAGAAGCACCGTATATATGACTTCTTAAGTAAAATACTCGACTCATCTGACTTGAGTTATGCTCCTCTAACTGTTTCTTCCTTCAGCTTTTAACTCTTTTGCATGTAAATTTAAAGAAAGTCGATGCTTCTAGTTGTATTTTAGATTAAAACTCAGCAATTCAAAATTGCAGCATGCTTCCATTCATTGTCATTGGATGACCAAGTAACAATAGGAGGAGCTTTACCCACCAAAGCTGCTTTCCTTTCACATGCTACAGATAAAAAAATCCTCTCATGGAAGACTTACCTACCATGAACTCGTTAAAGATGACAACAAAGGATTTTCCCACCACCACCAGACATGGTAACCAAAGCATATTTTTCACTCATCACATCATTTATAATATAGTAAAAGATAGAAAAGACAGCACAAGGAAATCCATAGAGATATTGTCCCCAAATAACAAAGGAAGTCCCCAAGAATAAGAGAGTCAATATCAATAGAGAACTATTTCGCTTTATGAGCAGGCAACATGTTATAAAAAAGACCCTGTGAAACATTCCTCTTGCTAATACCAGAATGCAAATAGTGGGAGGAAGGGAAAGCTAACGTGACCAAGCATGCTCACCTTCTCTCTAAAGCCCTTCAACAGTTCCTGTGCACCTCCCCTCTAAAAGCTTATCACACACCCGTAAACCACATATGGAATTGTAAACTTCAAGGCCCCTCTAATCATGGTATTAATTTCAGCGTATTGGTCATTCTTCTTCTAGTTTAAGTTCAAAGTTCCATACATCTCTCAGCATCAGAGTCCTAATCTGAAGTTGATTCATTGTCAAAAGTTCTATTACTCAAAAATCCAAATAGCTCAACAGGCAAATGGGGTCTTACCAGAAGAAGAATGGTTGTCCAAAAAATCAGCCTCGCATCTCTTGATAATATATAAGCAATTTGTTCCCATATATCTCTGTCTTGGATAAATCAAGAAAAGGAAAGCAAAACCAGTATCAGGGCACTGTAAGAAATAGATAGATCTCCAATAGATAGTGATAAACGATGAAAATGGTGAGGGGGCAAGTTCAATTACAGCTTCAATCCAAGTCTGAAAACCCAGTTTTTGTGCTTTTGCATCGTTGGGCAATGGCTTGCCAACCTGGCCAGCAGAGGGAAAAAGAACCAATTGAACAATTCATAACGATGGAGCTTTTCATACTTAATCACTGAAGCTCAATTAAAACCCAACATCATAGTAGTAAGCATACAAATTGAAGTGAGCAATCCTAATCCCCAATCGACCAATTCACCCTCTCATACTAAATCATTGAAGTTCACTTTGGTACCTAACCCAAACAATAGCAAAACTTCACCCAAATTAGGGATCCCAACCATAACCCTGCAAATCAAATTTCAACGAATCTATCATGGGAATAAAGAAACTTATCAAAAGTATCAAAGCAAATATACTCCAAGCGTAATGTGAAGAGGAGATAATTACCAATAGGAGATGGAAGACAAATCAGTATCTCAAGTTCTCAAAATTGTAGCCAGTGGAGGTCGCACATTCCTCGGTCTGGGATGGGAAGGGGCAGCGTCCTCGTGCTTCTTGCCGGCAGATGACCCTGAAAGAAGCTTGATGGTGACTTCGTCAGTTCTGAAAGGCTCTTCTTCTTCTTCTTCTTCTGAGGGGCAGTGTTTCCTACTCTCATCCGTCTTCTTTGAGCTTCCTCTTCTTCGAGTGAGAGAGGTAGAAGAGATTCTATGCAAATTATATGGTAAAAGTAACATGGGTAAACATGAGTAAGATGCTGAATCGGAGAAATTGACAAACCGAAGTAAAAGAAAGACCAAAATCTAACCTTCCCAACTGAATGAACGCCCATCACAGGTTTGAATTCTGCACAAACCAGCCACCAAAGAACGCAAGCAAATTACACCAACAAAAGCAACATAACACAAATTATCTATAAGCTGGGGAAGCATTTTTCGTGTTGCTGGGATGGCAAACCCATCGCCTCTGTTCCAGAAAGAGACGAAGTGAGATATTTATTATTTTCTTATTTCTAATTATCAAATCATCACATCAAATCAATCAAACAAATGAACAATCAAATCAAAAGTCAAAATCAAATCAAAATCAAAAGAATTATTAATGGTGGAGTTTTGTAGACCTTCCACCATTCAAAAAAAGCTGGCATCCCCTTAATTTCCGCTAGGGGTATTATAGTCCATTAATTACTTTAATTTTATCTCTTCCCGTCCAAATACTTCACTGCACCTGCGCATGGGCTACTCAATTAATATTATTCCATTAAGCCCACACATAAAGCCCATCAGTTTAATTATTTGAACGGTTGTTGTATATTTTGAAGCCTTTAGACCTGCTGATTAAAACAAAAAAACTTCTAGACCTGAATTTGGAGTTTTTAATGTAATTGTTTGGGCCAATGTCCAAAATAAAAATTAGATTCCACTATCACATACACCCATCACAAAATATGAATTTTGTTGGACTCTTGTAAGACATTACTATGTATTCTATTAACCCCACATTACAGTCAATTAATGGTATGAAATCATATATAATTCATGTCTTATACATTGTCAGGTCTACATATATACAGTGTTAGGGAACCATCATGTGTTTTTTCAATTTCGGTTGGCCTTGGTCAAACTGAGGGTTGACATGATTTGACCAGTGCTGAACCGAAAAATGGTTTTGGTTTACCCCTGGTCAACGAGGTTAATCTTTGTTTGACCGCATGTCAAAATGAAATAAATTTTATGTTTGAATCGTAACCGGATCAAAATTTTATCGCAGTTTGGTCTATGTGTTTTAAATTATTTCCAATAGTTTAAATATTCTTTATTATTATTGAATTTATTTTAGTATTGTAAAACCGCATCGGAGATTCTATAAAAAAAGTGTCTGAATATGAAAAGAGCACTCTACAACACAAGTTGGGAATGTATTTTAATAGGTTCTAGCTAAGGTTCTCATGATTTTTTAAATAAGGATATCAAAATTAATTATATTTCTTTGATTTTTTGTAACTCATAGTTCCTTTTATGAGCATGGACTTTGCTACCTATCCACTTCCCTAAACATGATATTTTAGGACAAAGTTGGTTTCACTGTGATTTTTGTTACAAATTCGATTTTTCTTATTTAACGAAAACTCAGTTTTGTTGTAATCTTTTCAAGCTTTTCGCACTAGCCTACCAAATAGCCAGAAAAGAGTCTCACAACACGATGTATTCATATTCCATTAATTAGGTAGTGAAATTGTTTAATTGTCGTAGTTTAGGACTTTGATTGACAAAAGTTGCACCAAATCACACTTATACCATATATACACTTATCTAAACTCATATCGCATTTCTCATAACCACATTTACTCCACTTGGTTGAAACAAAATTATAATAGGTTAAGGATTGAATTCATAAATGTGAAGTGATAGAAAATCTTGATCAAGTATGTAAATCAAGTAAAAAAGATTTCAACAAATGATTAAATAGAATGATTGTGAAACATTCATAATTTATATCAATATTTGGAGATTTTCACTATATTAACCCAATAAAAATCTCTAAAAAAAATAAGAATTGAGATATTTTCCCCAAATAAATGTGAATATTCCGGCCCACTGGCCGGGTCCAAGCTAGTAACTATATGGAGGTTCTCCTCCATCACCCCCTCAATCCATTTTTTGCTGACTTTTGCGCAAGTCACGGAAGGACTGTTTGGTCTTTCCAATAATTCAGATGGGCCTCTTGGCCCACTACCGAGTTCCAACCAGGCGGCACTGCGGTAGATCAAGAGTGTAATTACTCTCTGTGTTCTCACCGGAATTAATCATGGGAACCTCTCTTGCATAGTTTTTTTTTAAAAAGAGAAACCTCTCTTGCATAGTTGTCGTTAAGTATAACCAAAACCGTGCACCTGACTTGATCTCTGAATGACATCCATGGCGTTTAAATTTTGGGTTTTTCTATTACAAGTTACAACATCAAAACTCAAGCGGTGGAGGATTAACTATATCAGTGTTAGTGTTATGTTTTATTATCAATGGTTATACCATTGAGTAATAAAGCCACACTTTCCAGGTCCATTAGGAAACTCGATCTTAGCTATGGGAAACCATCAGCTATTTATTTTATATTGTTTAGACCAAATTTTATTGCCTACTACATTTTTTTTAGTTCTCTACTCCGAATAAATATTTTCTGTGGAGAATCATCTAAACAACTAAATAGTGGTTCAATTCCATTGTTAAAAATTGAATGTATCATTGAGTAATAAAGCCACACTTTCCAGGTCCATTAGGAAACTCGATCTTAGGTATGGGAAACCATCATCAGCTATTTATTTTATATTGTTTAGACCAAATTTTATTGCCTACTACATTTTTTTAGTTCTCTACTCCAAATAAATGTTTTCTGTGGAGAATCATCTAAACAACTAAATAGTGGTTCAATTCCATTGTTAAAAATTGAATGTAAGCCTAAATAATTCATATAGCAAAATTATATACATCATACAATTTAATGTGTGATCATGTCACATGTGATTTAGAAAAAATAGAGAGACGGTTTTATATCACAAGAAGTTGTGGTTGATTATGATTATCTCTTTCTGAAGTGCAAATTAAGTTTTCCAATGATATGAACATCGATGAAGTATCAATTGTTTATAATCTCTCTAATTATTGCACAATGCTTGATCTTACAAAACTATTACTATCCATTTTACATTTTCTTAAATTGATGCACCTAAGCCAGATTTAAAAAGAATTGATCAACCATTTGACTAAATTAGCAAGAAGAAAACATGCTCTTTATATAAGGCAAAAACGCATATTTGGGGAAAAAATCAACATTTCAACCGGTAATACCGTAATAGGGATGGCAATTTTGCCTATACCCATGGGTATTTTATTGTCCAACCCAATTAGATTGTGTATGAAATCCAAATAGATGATAAATTAGTAGAGTGTGATATATGTTTATTACCATATTAATTTATTTGGGTTGAGTTGGATTTTTAATCCATGGATTTGGATTTGTGCCCCATACCCATTTGCAAATTAAAGATTGGTACCTAACTTAATAGATCTTAAGATGTAGCACCTAATTGTTTTTTTGCATGTAAATCCTCAAAATATCAACAAAAAATTATATTTTAACTTGCTCTTTATATAAGGCAAAAGTGTATATATCGGGGGAAAATACAACATTTCAGCAGGTAATAGGGATGACAATTATGCCCATACCCATGGGTATTTTATTGTCCAACCCAACTGCGATGGGTATGAAATCCAAATAAATGATAAATTGGTAGATTTTGATGGATTTTTACCCATATGGCCATATCTATATATTTGGGTTAGGTTGGGTTTTTAATCCATAGATTTGGGTTTGTGCCCCATACCCATTTGCAAATTACAGATTGGTACCTAACTTAATAGATCTTAAGATGTAACACCTAATTGTTTTTTTTTTTTTTTTTTTGCATGGAAATCCTCAAAATATCAACAAAAAATTACATTTTAACTTGCTCTTTATATAAGGCAAAAGTGTATATATCGGGGGAAAATACAACATTTCAGCCGGTAATAGGGATGACAATTATGCCCATACCCATGGGTATTTTATTGTCCAACCCAATTGCGGTGGGTATGAAATCCAAATAAATGATAAATTGGTAGATTTTGATGGGTTTTTACCCATATGGCCATATCTATATATTTGGGTTGGGTTGGGATTTTAATCCTTGGATTTGGGTTTGTACCCGTACCATTTGCAAATTTCAGCTTGGTACCTAACTTAATAGATCTTTAGATGTAGCACCTAAATTTAATTTTTTTGCATATAAGTCCCCAAACTATCAACGAAAAATTTACATTTTAGTACCTAAAATTTTTTGTGTATTGTATTTTGGTACCTAAACTTTTTAAAGTTTTACAAATAGATCCAATAGATTTTTAAATTTTGTATGTTTAGTTAAAACATACTCAAGTAAATGAGTATCCATATCCATTTAAATTATGGAAGCAATATCAATGCCCTACCCAAAATCATCTACAAACCCCAAACCCGTATATACTTCACCCATACCCTACCCATAATCAATGGGTCTATTTTGTTTGACTAAAATTGCCCATGGGTGGGTAATTGCCATCCCTAACTAATCGGTAATCTATTGATTTGTGGTTTGTTTTTTATTTATATGTTATAAAATTATGTGTTTCTTGCTAAGATTGTTATCATTTCTATACATGTCTTATGAGTAACTTACAAGCTAAGAGAAATAGATTGTTTAGGCCAATTACTAACAAATTGGTCATCAAGTTTGAATCAAATACTGAGGCTCAAGCATGCGACGATATCGTAGCCATTCCAGCTTACAAGTTTAGTTTCATCAAACAATATGAGATTTACAAGCAGTGCAACCAAATGGCATTTATTTCAGGCTTGAATTACTATTCTCAATTCCAAGTTCCAACTTACTTTAATTGATGCATTTAGAACCAAAACATGCACTTTTGAATTTTTCATTCCACATATGTTGTTGGCCAATTTATTCAGTATTCGAGTTAATGGACATCTACTTGACTCACTGAAAAAGTTATCCATAAAGAGTTCCAGCTAAAACTTCCCCAGTATGTAATTCTTTTAGATTTTTGTTTAAAATAGCATGCATTTCTTTAACTCTAATGGCAAATCTAATGTATAATTTGGGCACATGGAATTTTATTTCAATGTAGCTCTCTTTTGTAGGATAGTAACCCGATTAAATATCTTCCTTGCAAATGCGAACGATCATCTCTCATCCTGGCCATTACATCATTACATGTTGCTCCTTAGAATGGTAAGAAAACATCTAAATTACTTAAGTATTAATCCAAAAATTTGAAATCAAATTAATGACCATAATTAAATGATCATCAAATTTGCAAGTGAGAACACCTTCTCCTCAACTGGAGTGATCTTGCTGCTGGCAAATTCAAGTATTACATAAGTCA